CTCCGCCGCCTTGGTCCTGAAGACCTAGCGCTCAGGGTGCCGAGCTAGAGCTTTCCACTCTTGAGATCTGTTTATTAACAGTGGCAGGGGAGTCTTCGAGGCTCCTGGATGCACCCACACAAACTCAAGAAAGCTCAGCTTGGCGCGGAGCCAAGCTTGCCAGCCCCCGGGGTCACCACGCCTCTCCCTGGAGCCACCCTAGATCCTCGCGAGCCTTTCACCCTTTTACATGCCTATCTCCCCACACATTATTCCGCCCACTGGCCTCTCTTCATCGCGCGCAATACTCAGCTCTCTTCCAGAGGTGAGCAGCATGGAGATCTCTCACCCACAGACCGCCTGTGCAGGGCACCCTATTTAATACGTCTCTGCTGTGTGTGAGCCCAGAAAGTAGTTGGTAACTTTCCAACCGTTGCCCACTGTTACAGCTCAGCCTTTACCCAGCGAACAAAGTCTTTTGCTAATCCTGGACTTCAGCTGACAACATCTGCTTTTTATTAAAAAAAAAAAATCTTGAACAAACCTACCCGAATATCTTGGGAAGAACACATGTTGTCAAATAAGACCCATCTTTGATTAGGAAGCCACCTCAGAATCTGAGCCTTCTTAAAAGCCCCCCTGAGAAACAGAATATTCAGCCTGTGTTGTCCTGTGGATTTTGCCCTAATGGTTTCAGGTTTTCTGGCATTAAGCATTTTAAGAAGCCTAACTTGATTATTATTCCATGCTGCATGCGTGCTTAGTTTTCAGTTCTACGCTTTTCTGTTTAAAATCTGGTCAGCTGTGGTAACTCACGTGCCTTCAGATCAGCTATTAAAATAAACACACCTGAGTGAATCCAAAGTGAATTGGCCTGTGGGCCTGAAATGATTTATTCCAAGTTACTTTTCTTTTCCTCTTAGTTTTACTTTGGTTTGATGGAACTGAGGAACATTTGGCTTATTAAGAATAAAAGAAATGCCACAGGACCACGCCAGTAGTCCTTCCCAGCAAGTATTTTGACTAAAAAGGGAAAGGAACATTTTGGGGGAGAGTCTGGTAATTGCCCTTAGAAATCTGAATATCCTGACATTCTTCCCATTAACCTTTGCAGTTCTTCCATTTGTGTATTTTACAAACCAGACTTTTGGAAATCATTTCTATTTTGCATTTGTCAAATAAGCAGAGGGAGACTGTAGTGAGGACATATTGTAAGAGTGTATGTATGTTGGCAAGTGGAGACACAGGATCTGTAGGCTGAGTAAATCTGTAAGTGCCTGAAGTAGGACCTTGCCCTATTCGTTTCGCTGGTAAAATATTTCACGTACGAAAGGTGCTAGAAGAAAAAAACAACACTGGGTTAATAAAGATAATTTTTGCATCCTTAATAGATGTGTCTGTATGTTTGCTCACTTTCATTTGATTACCAGAATTATTTTCTTATTTTATGTCTGACTTCGTCTGAATATTTTGACTTAAGTGATGAAAACGAAAACAAAGTAGCTTAGGCAAAAAGAGAAAGTTATTGTGTAACCCAAGTTGCGAAAGGGTAAGTCTAGGATTGGCTTTAGGAATAAATGGAACCAGTAACTGAATGCTTCAAATTCCAGGTTAGGCTCTCAACCCTGCCTCTCTTGGAAGGGGTCATTCTTCAGAACCTCTGAAAGTCATATTGTGTAGACTTGGAACCACGGCCTCTGGCAAACTGGGCTTACACCTACCAAGCGGTTACCACACACAATGTGCCTCTCCGGTCAGTTCCAATTTTTAGAACACCAGATTAACAGCGTGATTGAGTGAGCTGAGTAATATAATCATTGAGAGAAAGCACAGGTGTGACCTAAGAATGGTGTCAGCCGAGGCGGGGCTGAAGAGGGATTCGACGAGGTGAGCTGTCCAACTGGAAAAACGCGCGAGAAGCCGACATGGAGCAAAACAGCACTTTACTGCAGTACAAGCGGGCGGTGCCTGCGGCGGGCGGCAGTGGCGGCGGCACTCTGCACTTTGTTCTAGTTCAATAAGACGGCGCTGCCCACGTGGCGCACTTGTCCTCTTTTTATCTATTTTTGCCTGCACACGTGCAGTGTTTCTTTCTTTGTTTATGGGGCTTACATAACATCACTAGCGCATGCGTACTTCTATTTTCTTTGTCCTAAGACTTATTAACTGGCACACGCGTACAATCACTGTTTACCTTATTTATAGGCATGTTGTTGTGACCCTCGCCCTGGGTCCCACGGCCTACTCGTTCAAGGCTGCTGACAAATGGTACCCCCAGTAGAACCACATAGTCGGAGGAAAAAATGAAGAGAAAATTTCTAAGTGAAAACAAAAGGTAGAAGGAGATGCTGTTTTCGGAAGAAGAGAAAAGTGCTAGAGAGACCAAAAAAGAAAAAAAAAAAAGGTTCACCATGGAACAACTGTATTTAAGGAATACAGCCTTGGAATTTCTTTGATCTCTCCGAATTTTTACTCAAGTACTAATCAGCCTTCTCAGTAATGTCTCTGTATTGGTTTTCTATGGCTGCTGTAAAGTAAAAAAATTACCACAAACTTAGTGGTTTGAAACAACACGAATGTTTTACAGCTCTGAAGGTCTGACGTCTGAAAAGGGTCACTGGGTGAAAATCAATTGTCAGCAGAGTTGAGTTCCTTTATGGAGGCTCTAAGGGCTTTCTCGACTTTTCCATTTTCTAGACACCACCCATATGCCTTGGTTTCTGGCCCCCTTCTATCTTGAAAGCCAGCAATATTACTCTCACACATTGACAATTCTGCTTACATCTTCCACATTTAAGGAGCCTCGTGATTATATCAGGCCCACCCAGACAATCTGAAATAATCTCCTTATTTTAAGGTCAGCTTATTAGCAACATTATTTCCACCTGAAACTTTAATTCCCCTTTGCCGGGTAACATAATATTTCCACAGGTTCTGGGTATTAGCCTTTGGGGGCAAGGGCATTATTAATCCTATCATGCTCTTTATTTTCATAAAGCCACAGAGCCAAAGGCATTGGTTCCCAAACTGGGACACCTGTGACAAATACTGATGTCTGGATACCACCCCCAGATATTATGATTTAATTGGCCTAGAATCCATTGACCCCTTGACACAGACACACATATACATGATTGGATCAGGATGGAGCATCTCACCCACGTGAAGCCAACCAGAGAACTTGCCTGGGGATTCAGAATGCAGAGAGGGAGTTGGTAACACTGGGTGTCTGAAGCTATAACATCAATTTAGGAGCTATGGCATCAGGAGAAACAGGAAGAAAAGGTCAAGAGAAGAAGAGATAGAAAGAGAAAAGAGGTAAACAGAGTGGAGCCAAGCCTGGGTTCTCAGTGGCTGTCTGCTTCCTGGTTACGGTGGCATTCTCACCATTAGCTTTTATGTGGCACCACTGCATTCTCATAAGAAATTCTTATTTTACTGAAGCTAACTCAAATTGGTTTCTCTTGCCCAAACCCCCAAATGTTCGATTTAATACACGATGGGAGCTTAATTTTCCCCCAATTAATTTTTTATGAGATACTTCTTCTTTAAGAAATAAAGCAAGTAAAGTTAAATATAATTTGTAGAATCTAGATGGTGAGTGTTCACTGTACAATTCTTCCAGTTTTCTGTATGCTAGAAAATTTTTATAGTAAAATATTGCAAAAATACTCAGCAAAATGTGACATAATTAGAAGACATTAAATAAATGAACTTTTTTTTTTTTTGCTACCCTTAGTTACTGAGTCTCATCAGAATACAGGAAGCTTCCTTGGGCTGCAGAAAACAAAAGTTGTTATGTAACTAGGATGGCCACGGATGTGGAGGTTAACTTATTTAATTCTTTAGATAATTCAGGCAACCAATATTCACATTTTTAGAAATGTCTTAAAGTGAATTTGAAATTCCAGTGTGTATCAACAGAATTCAGTCTATCTGTCCAAAAGAATACCCTCTGGTTTACTTTCATGATGGATAGAGTACAGCTTTACATTTCTAACGTCCATGGCTCATTTTTGCTTCCAACTTTCATTATATCACAGAGTAATCCAAAAGCATAGTCTATCATCCTTCTGAATACAATAAAAAGTAAGGATATGTAAAAAACATATTTCATTTTCAATGAATGTTTTATATATCTCACTGATGTTAAAAGTATATTTTAAATAATCCTTCATCACATTCAAGAAATATGAGGCGATTCTTTGTTCATTACAGTACAGAACCTCTTGAAATATACTTGACAAAATGGATACAGTGCCTATTCTCAAAGCACCTGAAAACTAATAGAAAATGCTGTTTTTGCATCTAACATGTGCTTGCAATAACAAAAATATGACTTTAAAATTACAAATTTTAATCCAATGCAAAACATAAATGAAATTTTATGGTTGGGTATCTCAGCATCTTGAATGCCAACTTTATATTGCTATATTTGGGAACATGGGAATGAATATTTACTTAGTTTTCTTTAAAAATAAAATAAATCAACTTTTCAACATCTGTTTTAAAATCCTTTACTATAATTTGTAA